ATTGTCAGCTCTTGGAAAGATGTTTGTGTTGGCGAGAGCAGGAAATGTGTTTTGCTGGGTAACAATAGAGCAGAGGAACAGTGAGGTCATCATCTCCACATTGCCACATATACACTTACAGAGCCTTTAACTGTTTAAATGGCCATCTGTTTTTTCATCTTTTAATGAGACAAAGTTGAGCAGGATGAGAGTGCAGCCAAGATCTGATTATCTGGAGAAAGAAACATAAAAACTTTCATTAAAAAGTCATTACCAATCATTATATAAAGCTAAACAGATAGTTTATGTAGACATGAACATAAATGAAATATGTTCCAAACAAACAAATTAAGATGCAAAATATATCACAGATATAGATTAAAATCCTTTTTTTCTTGTAGGCCCTTTTAATTTTGTCTGTAATATTTCTATGGACTCTACTGTTCAATTAATTGATAAAAAAATACAGTAAAAACAGTAATATTGTGAAGTATTCTTGTTATTTAAAGTAACTGTTTTCTATTTTGATTTATTTTAAAATATAAATGTATTTCTGTGATCAAAGCTGAATTTGCAGCATCATTACTCCAGTCTTCAGTGTCACATGATCCTTCAGAAATCATTCTAATATGCTGATTTGCTGCTTAAGAAACTTTATTATTATCAGTATTGAAAACAATTGTGCTACTTAATATTTTTGTGGAAAACATGATACTTTTTTCGGGATTCTTTGATAAATAGAAAGTTCGAAAGAACGGCATTTATTTGAAATGAATTTTTTTTTTAAACATTTTAAATGTCTTTATTGTTAGCTTTGATCAGTTTAATGAATCCGTGCTGAATTAAAGGATTGATTTCTTTAAGAAGTACTTCCCTACATTTTTGAGCTGCAGTGTAAGTGCTGTTTTTCCCATGAATCTGGGTGTTAATTTGTGTTTGTTTTGTACACAGCAAAGTGTCCAGACCTGATAATTTAGCCCAGCATGTTTTTGAGGTGGATGAAGATGTGGATAAAGATGAGGTAAATCAAATTCATGCACAAACACACCTTCCAGAATTGCGACCCTCTTATTAAACTCTGAAACTCTAGTCAATCTTAAGTGATATTTTCCCTCTCTAATAAATCCTACAGGATTGTGCCAGTTGCTGAATATTTTTTTTCCCAAACCACTTTAACACAAATCCCGCCCTGCAGCCAATTTCATTGGTTAAGGTTAGGATTAGAATTAGGGTTGGTTGTAGCATTGTGTAGGTAATCAACATTGTGATCAACACGACCAAGGAGTGGAGTTAGTGCTGAAATGGTTTGGGAAAAAAACACACCTCTGCACTAAAAGCATGTGCTATAATAGTAGGTTCATAGTTTTGAGTATGAAGTAAGTCAGTACACTAGTATTAAGTACTAACACTTCATAAAACTCCATCCCTTGGTCTCGTAATCAAATACTTTCCATTTTTGTACAACTCAATTTATCCAGAACTCCTTTTTATTGCGCAAGGAGTAGTAAGCAGCATTACTTCGAAACACATTCACAGATGCACAGAGTAAGTCATTTGGGCCTTTTCTTTTAATATTTTCAACATGCTATGATGTAAGATGCACTATTGCTAATGTCACATACTATTTAGGATAATATGTAAACTGGGCTACAGCCAGGCTCTATGTGTGGATCAGACTTCTAGGTTTTCCCAGAATGGACATAGTCAAATCCAGTGACCTGACATTAGACCTTCTGCCTTACCCTTCCCAGAATTCTTTTTTCCATGAAGGCTGCCCACATATTTAATTCTACTAATCAGCTTCCCACTCGAGATTGAGTCACGTTTCTTATTTTAGCCCAAATTTGTGCAGTACGACAGACTGATATGTAACTCAGGTCGTAGGTTTGAGAAATGCAGTATAATTATTTTGCTGAGTTTTGGCCTGTACTGTGGACTATGAATAACTCTTGAGTTCAAGTTAGACTCAATTGTCTAATTTGGTCGCTGATTGATTTCTTGTATTTTTAGAAAGTTAGTGTGGTAATGAGTGTGTTTTGGCATCGCAGTAAACACGCAGCCAATCGCTGATGGCCGTCCAATGGCACAGCCAATCATAACAGCTCGCCACATTGAGATTTTACATCATTCAGGCTGTTTTCATGAATGTTAACATTTATTAGTGATGCTTGCTGATGCTACTGGTGCTCATATTTAAACAAATCCTTAAGTATTAAATGATTTAAAAGTTTGCATGGATGATAAAAATCATGGTAAAAAAAAAAAATCTCACAGACTTACTGTATATTGAAGGAAAGACCTGAGCAATATATAGAGATAGGGTAGAGCAGTTCTTAAATTGAAAATTGAAGTTCATGGCATTTCAGCACAACTTCATCTCACAGACTTACTGTATATTGAAGGAAAGACCTGAGCAATATATAGAGATAGGGTAGAGCAGTTCTTACTTAAATTGAAAATTGAAGTTCATGGCATTTCAGCACAACTTTTAATCATGTATTTGAAGGCTTCTGTTGGATCATTAAAGGTCAACATCAGTTTAGTTTTGCACAAGCAAACTCGGCTCACATTTTCCTCAGAAAGCATAAAACTGTAGATTTCTTGACTGAAGTCTCTTTGCTAAAACAGCCTTCTGAGAATTCACAAGAGGCTGGACTGTCCAAGACTGTGCAGTCACTCTGACTGGGTTTTGATATCTGCTGACTGGAAAGCTCAGAATATGTTGTGTTTGTTGAGAGAACGCAGCTCTGTGAGGTCTATGAAGCATCCAGACTCCCTCTGTTGTGTGTGTGGTTTGTTTATATCTGCAGAATGTCAAGATTAAAGAGTTAAGGAGTGTTTAACTGGTGATTCAGAGACAAACCGACCCATTGTACTAAAGTTTAACCTTCTGTTGTTCTTAAAGGGTCTTTCAGGCCAATACTCTCCTCATCTACACCTTGGAGTGTGAGGTCTGACGCCTCTCACAAAAGACCAGTTTACACCAGCATGCTTGTCCAGGCTGGTTGGTGCTGGTCTAGCTGGCGGACCAGTATAGCAATATTGGCACCAGCAAAACTGTTAGTTTTTATAATAAAGTTGCCTCATCAAGTCACGCTGGTTAAGCTTGCTAAAAAGCCTGGTGAAATGACCAACAGACAAAGCACAACATATGCTTTATTGTTCTTGCCAGCATGCGGTCAATAGTGTGGACCATTTCACACCTGAAAGATATAAAAAAGTACATTGAGGTAAAACACAACAGAAATATTATTATTTTGGAAAAGTATTTGAATGCATCTTTTCTCAAAAATTGTGAATTTTGTTTCTTAGAAAGAAATACCAACATGTCAAATTGTAAATGCCAGCATCTCAAATAAATAATTTGGCAAATTCTTATAAATTTTTACATTTTTGTATAATCTGCTTACGCAGTGAGGGTATGGTATAGGAGTGGACCATCATATTTAATTCTGTTTTCCACATGTTTTTAAACAAAATAAATAGTACGACTTATGCAAAATTGGCAACTAGTAAAATATAACTTGTATAGCAGGCACTTCTCCAGATCTGGAAAAGAAACAAATATCATGTCTGTTCTCTCTGGGAACCTTGTGTCACTATTACAGGTGATCCAACATTTTTGAGGTTTTTATTCTTTATAATGACTTTTTCACATTTAAGAATAATGGTAAAGGAAGACAATAAAAGGAAGAATGAAAATTAAGTTAAACAAAACCAAAAATGTTAAACAAAACCAGATTCTCTTATATTTGAGCTTCTTTGTCTGCTCACTCTGAACATTTACACAACCAAGGCCATGAGGTGCATCCTGGGATGATTTTTCCTAGAAAAGACTGATTATCTGTCAGATAATATTACGGATGGGAACAGGATGGTCAGTGACGTTCATACAACAGGTTTTGATTGGCCTGGGATATCACAGATGATATTGCTTTGTTTTTTCATCAAGTTATGGAAATAAAATAGTTCAATATTGTGATCGCACAACCGTAGAGGGACTAGGTGGAGTAAAACGGAGTCATGAATTCATGGCGGAGTCATGGCTACATGTTTCTTCTGTTACACACTTTAGGGGAGAGCTGTGCTGATTCATACTGATGAGCATTGTGTACTTTGCAGGTGTTCGGTTACAGTACTGGTGTTCATGTAAGTGTCCAGAGACAGGAATGGTGTTATCAGAGGTTCTGTAGTGTACTTTGAATCAGGTTTATCTGAGGTTCTGTTCAGTCGTGGAGTCTGGATTCTGTTCTTTCTCCCTTACTTGACTCCTACTTTGTTCAACTGCAGGATCAAACAGACAAACTTTGGACTGTCATCACAAAACTGTTTCTTGTTTGTGTGTGTGTGTGTGTGTGTGTGTGTGTGTGTGTAAAGGACACGACCTCTCTGGGCTCCCAGAAGGGTGGTCTCATTAAACAGGGCTGGCTACATAAGGGCAACATGAACAGCGCCATCAGCGTCACTATGAGGGTGAGAGTCTTCATTCCTGAGGAGATGTTATGTCTATGCACGTGTTTGTTTTTCATGTCTCATTTACACTCTGCTTTTTTTCCACGCAGTCATTCAAAAGAAGGTATTTCCACCTGACACAGCTGGGCGATGGGTCATATAATCTCAACTTCTATAAGGATGAGAAGATCAACAAAGAGCCCAAAGGAACCATCTTCCTGGACTCCTGTATGGGAGTGGTGCAGGTGTGCAGACATGCTCTAATGTTCACAACACAAACCTCGCTCTATCTTGTTCAGAAATCGTCACGGTATCGATTCACATTTCAATAGAAATTACATTTAAGTATATTTTAGTTGACAATAAATGCTTGTCAGTGCATTCACTTTAACCATATTTCAATAGGAGTAATTATGAAATTGCATATAAAGATGCACTTTAGTCCTACTTAAGTGGGCAAAAACACTTAAGTTCAGCTGATTCTATTTAATATAAATGTAAACTGTAATACATTTTCACTTAATTGCAATTAGCATGCAGTTAAATGTCTGAAAACATTACATCCAGTGCACACTTAAGTATATTATTTTAATAATAAAAACCTTAATTTAAAAACTGCATGTTGTGTTTACTTGTGTTATCTTTGACTAATATTTCAATTTGTTTGATGATCTGAAACATTAAAGTGTGACAAACATGCAAAAAAATAAGAAATCAGGAAGGGGGCCAACACTTTTTCACACCACTGTAAGTACTGAGCAGCATGATGAGAAGGCAAAAAAAAGTAGAGAGTGAGGGATGAAATGACTCTCCTCCCTGTGTTTTAATAATTGATAAGCATTCTCTCTGGGAGTGAATTTTCCACATACACATATCACCCCAATTACACCCAAAATAAAGTGCTACGCCCTCGCCGGCCCCCCAATCTATTTTTGTGTGGAATTTTCTGGAACCTGTGGCCGTAATCACTCATAGGTATGGTCAGCAAGCCAGCGTCACACCCTACATGCGTTGTTTTGTCATTATCTGTAATTAGTTGTGTCCGTTTAATTAGCCCTCTTCCTCTGACCTCTTGACACGCCTCTCACCTCCTCACCCCCCGTCTGCATCAACAGAGCAATGGCTTTTACTGCAGACCGGGGTTATTAGAGTTAACTAAAGCTAAAACCATAAAAAACATAATTACCTGAAATAAAATAAATATTAGCTTTTCTGTCATTCTCAGTTTCTTGATAGTAAAATAACTAAAAGTAAAACTGAGATAAAAATTTATAAATTACAATAACTAATAAAAACGACAAAAAAACAACAAAATTACTCAAACTTTAATAGAAATTAAGTTGAAATCAGAAAATATAAAAATGAATTCAAATATAAAAAAAACTATTATAGTATTTCAGTGTTACTAAAATAACACTTCTGCAGACAGACAGACAGAAACAGAGAGAGAATGAGGGAACTTGCTGAAACACAAATAGGAGAACATACAGATTTGACATTGATTATTATAATGTAAATGAGAGCTTCCAATGTAAGGTTTTAGAGATTTTAGTCTTTCCAGCATTAGGAGTGGTCAAATAAACAGTCTGGTACATTCTGAGAAAAAAAGACTGCACTGGTGAGCTCAGCAACATAAAAAGGCCTGGACGTCCACGGAGGACAACAGTGGTGGATGATCGGAGAATCCTCTTCATGGTAAAGAAAAACCATTTCACAACATCCAGCCAAGAGAAGAACACTCTCCAGGAAGTAGCCGTGTCACAGTCAAAGTCTACAATCCAGAGAAGTAAATTAAAACAATGGAAAAACTCTTAAGATAACATGTAGAAAGAAAGAAAAAAGCATCTTAAGCATACAGAATAACATAAGTTGACTTTGAACGATTACGTTATTGTGGCATCCATAATTGCGATTAGAAATTCGATTAATTGTGCAGCCCTAGCCTGATTAGACTTTGCCAAAAAAACATCTAAAAAAAAAAACAGACCACTTCTGGAGAAGCATTCTTTGGACGGCTGAAAATTAAGATCAACCTGTACCAGAATGACGGGAAGAAAAAAGTATGGAGAAGGCTTGGAACAGCTCATGCTCAAATCTGTGAAACATGGTGGAGCAGTGTGATGGCATGAGCGTGCATGGCTTCCAGTGGCACTGGGTCACTGGTGTTTAGTGATGATGAGACAGAAGACAGAAGCAGTCGGATGAATTCTGAAGTGTATAGGGATATACT